GGCCCCGGCCCCCGTGTCCGGGCTGGTGCGGGGCTCCGCGCTGCTCCTGGTGGCTGCTCCCGGCTGCGTCTTCGTGTGCATTGCCGTCGCGATGGCCCTTCCCCGGGGCTGAGTTGTCCCCTTCCCTCCCCCTCTTGCTTCCTTAACCCATGCTTTCCCCTGGTGACAGAGGGTGCAAGAAAGGGAAACTGAGGCAGGGAACGTGCATGTGCAAACCACGCCATTAAGCCCACAGGTATCATAAACACCCGTGGGGCTGCCCCTCGCTCCTGAATCCTGGCCCTGCACTGCCCCTTACTCCTGACCACAGCCCCTCTCCCCCGCCATGCTGGCGCTGCTCACTCCTGCCCCCCAGCCCCTGGCACTGCCACTGTGCTGCGCTCCTGCCCCCCACCTTGTGGCACCCCTCACTCCTGCCCCCCCCCCAGCCCTCCACAGCATCACCCCAGCAGGGAGACGAGTGCACGGGTGGGCAAACACTGCCGGGTGGAAGAGGCAGTTCCTGGCAGTCGGGGATGTGGACAAAAGAAGGGAGAAGCAGATGTTTCGCAGGAAGTGAAAGCCCGCGATGTAGAAATGGTCCGTGTGGTCTTTGCTGGGCTGGAGAAAGCTCTGAAGCCCTTCCCGGAGGCAATGCTTTGGGGGAAACGGAGGGGAAAAGAAAGCACCATTAAAGCAAATGGACCTAGTAAAAGGAAGGTTGCCGCATTAGAGATCCTCCGGGAAGGAAAGTAGGTTTCCCTTGGCCCTCAACCTAGCCCACGCCTTTCAGTCACAGCGACGGGCATGTGACACGCAGAGGGGCTTTGAGGGAAGACAAGAAAACGTTGGACTATGGCAGAGTGAGCTCGAGAGCACGGGTCTCCAAGGAAATCCAGCAAAGCCAGAGCCCACAGAGCCAGCGAAGCCAGTGGGCTTTCACTTGCTGGGAAATGTCTGCTTCCCACTTCTTTTGTCCGTGTCCGTGACTTCCAGGAACTTCATTTTAAACCCCGCAGTATTTGTGGAGATGAAGCTGTGGGGAAGGACGTGGACAGAGGTGCGCAGTGACTCCTGGTGCGAAGGACCCGGGTTGCAGCGCGTGCACGTGCGTGAGGTGAGGAGGAGCCGAGGAAACGCGGCATCCACGTGTGGGAGCACCAGAGGCCGAGACGACTTCATCACCGTCTGCCGGGGCATCTCCAACGGGGGAGAAAGGGGATGTCGCCAGCACTGAGCCGAGCACGCTGTGGTGTAAATGTGATTGCACAGGACACGCTAGGCGAGAGAGGGCGGAAATCAGTGCAAATCCCAGGAACACCTGGCAGTGGATTTGTCGGCACCATGAAGTGGAGATGACACGAGCACGCTGGGAAGGCAAAGGGAGACCGCGCTGCCACGACACTGCTGCGCAGGGAAGCCCCAGGAGTCCCACGAATGGGGAAGACTCAGGGGACGGCGGCTGGACGAAACGAAGGAGGAGATATCAGTGTGAAACGTGGGAGAGGCCTGATCCCCACAGAGCAGTGGGGGGACGTGGGGTTCAACCCCTGGCCATGAGGATGAGAC